TGCAGTACTCCAACTGCGGCCTGACCAGTGCCGCATAAAGGGGAAGTATCACCTCATTGGTAAATTACAATCCCATGTGCCAGTTCTGCTCCTGGCTTCTTTTGGAATTAAAGCTAAATGAACAGAAAACCACTGAAAGTGATAGAATAGCTGGTGATGCTACCATCTCACTTTGGCAACTCTTTTTTTTACTTCCTTACACTGGTTAAATCAGCATTTATAAAGAGTGTAAAAGAAGGGGTTAGAATGGTAAGGATGGTTTATTAAGACTTAGATACCTATTTCAGAAGAGGCAGAGCAAATATATGTAGATGAATTTGGCAGCAGAGGTGTAACTAGGAAGTTTTGCTCCTTGGTCAGTGACGGGTGCTGCCATTTTATGCCCTTTTAAGTCGGTGCTTGGGACTGATGTCCTGCTTTCCCATCCCCTAGTTATGCTATTGTTTAGCAATAGATTGGGCATGATAAATCAGGTGTGTTTGGGGATAAAAATAATTTTCTTTTTCCAGTTTGTTTTCAGTCTGGAAACAAAAGTCAAGTTCAGGGTTAAGATGACAGATAAATGTTTAGAAATTTAAGGGAGATTCCTGTGGGTGAGCTCGAGCTCTAATTCATTCATTAATAGAAAACTATCTTGGAACCTGGGGCTGTAGATTCAAAATAGGGAGTAAAGATAGAATATTTAGCTTATAAACTTCTTTTAACAGGTATAGCTTGCCTCTATATATTTCTGTAGACTTCAGGACAACACAGGTCCAGTTCTGCCTCAGGGTACAATTGTAATGTAAATATTAAAGATAACGACAGTATCAAGATCAAAAAGAGTTAAGGGAGAGAGTTCATGAAATAAATTAGTAAAATCACAGCAAGGATGAAGCTACTAGTCATATTGTTCTGTAATAGATAGGTAGATGGACAGAGAAAGGTGCCTAGTTTAGGCTCCATGGCAGACTTTGTATAAAAAGGTTGAGACCTCCATGATGAGTATTATATCATTTGGACTGAAAACCTACAATCTCTGATTGAGTTCCATCTGAAATTCAGCAATCACCATCCCTCCATCCAACTTTCTCTAGAATACTCCAGCACCAACATCTCCTTTTTAGACACGATGATCAGTATCCAGAATGATAAAATACAGACCACATTATACAAGAAACCCACAGACCAACATACATATCTGCACAGAACCAGCAATCACCCTAAACGCACCAAAAAAGCTGTGATATACAGCCAAGCCCTCAGATACCACCGAATTTGCACTGAAGAGAACACCCAGGATTGCCACCTCACCAATCTTAAAAAGGCTTTCACCCAACAAGGACACTCGTCCAGAGAGAGAGATCGCACGTTTGAAAGAGCCACCCAGATACCACGTGAAGAACTGCTGCAGTACAGAAGAAACCCCCCCACAAATCGCACACCGCTGGTTATGACATATCACCCCTCCCTTGAATCTGTATGGAAAATCCTCAAACAATCCATACTAGAAAGAGACCCTATTCTTAAAAAGATCTTCCCAGAGCCACCCATCCTAGCCTTCAAACAAGCACTGAACCTCGCTAACTTCATCACCAGAAGCAAACTTCCTCAAGCCCAGAACACACCAAAAGGATCCAGACCGTGCCATGACAAGAAATGCAAAGCGCACCAGAATGAATGCACACCAGAAATCTACCAAAGACAGAAATACCCAATTACCTGTGGGGGCACATTTCTCACAAGAAAACTACTCTCTCTCCAATCTCTCAGTCCTGATCCTCAAAGGAAACTTAAAAAACACTTCACAGCCTATGGACCTACGAACTCCACTTCATCAACCTCCTGGATACTAAAAATCATGGACTAAATATAGGCATTGGATTTATGACACATTATAACCTGCCTGACATCTGACTCCCCAGGTATCTCTCCACTTTCATCCCCCTTCTCTCTCTCCCCTAGCCTGTCTCTCACCCATTGACTCCTCAATCTACATTTTCACTGACTACCTGTCTTGTATGCAAACCAGCCCAGCCTCTGGCTTCTTTACTTTTCATTCCATCCAGGAAGAGCACACACCAACTGCTGAAACTTCCTTAGCCTGACGAAGGGTTTTTGAACCCGAAAGCTTGCTTAATAATTATTTTCCAACTATTTGGGTTGGTCTAATAAAAGATATCAGATTAACCCAAGGAACCTTGTCTACATATGAAAAGGAAGATATTTAATAGATTTCATAGACATTAGGGCTGTAAGGGATCTTGGAAGATCATTGGGTCCAGCTCCCTGCCCAAAGGGCAGGAAGTCAGCTGGGGTCAAATGATCCCATCAAGATAAACATCCAAATGTTTCTTAAAAGCGTCCAGAGTAGGTGCTTGCACCATCTCTGGGGAGTCTATTCCAGGTCTTGGGGGTTCGGACAGTAAAGAAATTTTTCCTTATGTCCAGCCTAACATGGTCTTGCAGGAGTTTGTGACCATTGGACCTTGTCATCCTCTGGGGTGCTCTGGTGAACAGGCCCCAGATCCTGATGCACACCCCTTATATACTTATAGGCTGCCACTGAGTCACCCTTGAGCCTGCGCTTTTCCAGGTTGAAGAGTCCCATGGCTTGCAGCCTGTCTTCGTAAGGCCTGTTCTCATGCTCTCTGATCGTGCGTGTGAGTCTCCATAGGACTTTTTCAAGCTTCTCCTCGTCCTTCCTGAATTGTGGAGCCCAGAATTGGATGCAGTATTCCAGCTGAGGCCTCACCAAGGCTGAGTACAGTGGGAGGATGACATTCTGGGTCTTGCTCGAGATAACATCGGTAGATGTTAACCAGAGTTTTGTTCGCTTTGCCGGCTGTGGTATTGCAGTGGTGGCTCATGTTCTTTTGTGGTTAATCATGACCCTCCAAGTCTCTTTTGGTCATGTTGCTAGTGAGTATAGCAATGCTGAGGCTATAAGTGTGATGTGGGGTTTTTTTCTGCCCAAGTTCGAGCACCTTGCATTTCTCCGTATTGAATGGAGAAGCTTTGGTTAGAAAAAAAATGTCTGAAAAAAAGCTCCAGAACGGTAGAATGCAGCAGACACTAATGCATTTGTTTCTACTCATTTAACAACACGGGGAATAATAATCAGAATGTTTGCCATAAAGCGAGGAGGAATTGGTAAGAGATGTTATGGCAGGGATCAATATATTTATTTTCAAGATTCCTAGAGTATTGCAACTAGTGTGGGAGAAATATGACTTAACCAAATACTTTTAGCTAAAATGTATCAAGGGAAATGAGCAGTTGAGATTTGCTGTAAGCCAGGCTCTCATGTTACATTTCCAAGTCTTCTCTTTGATTTTGAGCAACACGTCTGTATTTTGGAAATCTTAATTTGTCTAACTAGTCGTACATTATTAACTAGACATTTTGTAGTTTCATATCACAAACTGATTGCTCAAAAGCTGTATGGAGGCATTTCCTGTTTTTTCTCATGTTTTGGATTGTGTATATTAATGGCAGACGGTTCTTCTATTATTATTATGTTTTCTTGAGAAGCAGCATATAACAATGTAAGTAAATTCACATAATATATATGTCAGTTTATTAATTCCTATGCAACATTTAGTTTAAGTATAGCCACTTATTATGTGTCTTTGAAAATAATTCATTTCTTTGTTCATCACCAGTATAGCTACTATAAGCTTTATAGTGCTTTTGCAGCAATTTTTGACAATTTATCAAAGGAAGAGATCCATAAAGTCTTTACTTCTTGTTAACTGGATGAAGTCAGTCATGGGCTGATACAATAAGCTGAATCATCACATTTGATTTCATTAAACCCTTCTATAGTGTTGCCATTTTCTTTTGAAATAAACTAATCTTCATAAATATAGCACTAGAAATGGATTGTACAGTTCAGTATTTTTCCTGTTCTAATTCTATTTCAAACCCTTTGCTATTTCTCCATCCCACTACCAAAGTTTTCTGTATCCCTATTGGATACCTTATTCCCTTCTCAATATCCAGTTCTCATTCCAAGGCTCTGCCATGCTGGCTTTCCCTTGCCTCTCCCCACCTCTCAGCTTTGGGAGGGGCATTCTCCTGGCGCTGGAACCTTCCTGGGCTGTTTGTAGCAGCTGCTGCTTTTAAGCAGCTGCCAGTTGCCACTAGATAGCCTGGCTTTCTCCCAGGCAGGAGAGATGACAGGCTGTCAATTAATGGGCTCCCTCTAAGGGTGAGGGTGGCCGAAAAAGAGTCTTCTAGCGTCCCCTGGTTGGAGAGCTTATCTACAAAGGTCTCTGGCTACAGAGCTGGAGGAACATCTGTATAGTCCAACTCTTGGGCTATTTTTCTATTGGAAGAAATTTCTTCTTGTAGAAATGAATTTTGTCCGCAGCTTTATTAAGATAGATCCTGGAGAGTGTCAGATGCCTCTTCTGGTGATGGCCCCGCAGGAATTTAGCAGAAGGTCTTAAACCTGTGAACATCACTAGAGTCTGATGATGGGCAAGATCTGATTGCGTCTCAGTTTTACATATTTTAAGTCGCCAATATTTGTGCATTATAGTCCACAGAAAATGAATGTAGGGTCATTTCACTTTGCTTTTTAAATGTGCCATGTTAAGGGCATAATCTGATTTATATTATGATGATTAGCAGGCTCTAGTCCTGTTCAGTAGTCAGAATTAAATCAGAGTATATGCAGTAATGGAGTAAAAAATTGCAGGAAGTAAGAGATGGAGTTAGAGATGTTCACTTTGTGGATATGAATATCAACCCACAGTGTTGGAGCAACACCATCAAAATGCCACCTTACACTCCTTTTATGTAGTCACCAGTATATAGCATGATGTGCAAAACACATCCCAAAATTGTAGACCTCTTCTCACTTCATACAGTAATTCTTTTGTACTTGTATCTAGATGAAGAACAACTTCTGACATTTTTTGCTTTTCATTGTGAGATCAGGGAGTAACTGGTTTTGTTTACTTTCATCCCAAGACTACTGTACCATGTTTATCACATGTTTGTTTTCTTTTAAGAACTGCCAGAAACTTCCTTAATTGAAGAGGAAGTGCAAGAAACAGAAGCCTGGGCCAAGCCTCTCATTTACCTTTGGCACAAAAGAGTCCATAATTTCAATGCTGAAAAAGAATATAATGCAGCTTGTGCCAAAAAGGAACCTCATTGTGCCATTTGCACTCTCCTTATGCCGTACTACAAGGTAAGCTGTTGTTTGGAAGGGTGTCTTTGATGTCTTATTTAAAACTCAGCATGGCAACAAAACTAAGGGAGGCAAACAATAATTATTGTAGAAGGTTAATTTGTGACATGAAAACAAAAAGCAAATAAGGTGAAGTATCAACTACTGACAAGAGGCAAATGCTCTCCTAGCTACTGGCCAAAGTAAACAGGAAACTTCCTATCAAGTTTATCCACAACCTCTGAATAGAGTATGGAGCAACTGTGTAGTCACTACCACTTATGCTCAGTTCACGGTTTTGCAGTTGCAACTGTGAACTTGCTACTTCTGAGGGGGGACAAGGAAGCAGCCAGTTGAGCTGTACTAATTTTACCTTCCCACACCCAAATTCTCTCTGCATTACTCTAGGAAGAAAGATGTGCATGCCTCCCATAACTTATTAGAATCCCAGTGTTTTCAAGATGTGCATGACATGAGCCTTCTTGGGAATATTATTTCTCCCAGAGAGAAGGTCAAATGTATAATACCTTCTGATATGGATTGTGGATATACCTGCAATCAATTTTAGGTAAAAATGCTGACAACAGAGCACACTTCCCTGTCAAACTGACTTCTTGCAACCTAATACAATATTAAACTAAACATTATCCATTAAATATTTTTCAAATAACACAGCAGGGTTGTGATTCACCCCCCGCCCCCCAAATATATATTTTTTCACATTGAAGACAATAATTCTTATGTGGTTTGGGTGCTAGTTTTGAGATCTCTGCTTTGGTACCTTTCTAAATGAACTGATCTTCAAAGTCTTACTAATTGGACATAAAAACATAAAAACTGCCATTTACCAACTCAGACCATAGGTCCGTCTTGCCCAGTATCCTGTCTCACAGTGGCAGAGTGGATGCTGATGCCCCTTTCAGCCAAGAATTTGTTCAATCCCTTTTTGAATTGGACTAAACTGTTAGCTTCCGCAACGTCTGGTGGCAACAAGTTCCACACTTTAATTATATGCTGTGTGAAAAAGAGTTTCCTTGTGTTAGTTTTAAACTAACTACCTTTCATTTTGTGACCCCCATAGCTCTTGTATTGTGAGAGACAGTATAAATAATAAATTCCTATTTACTTTCCTTTGCCATTTATTTTTTTGTAAACCCTTTTTTATACCCCCTCCCTCAAGCATCTCTCTTCTAAACTGAATAGACCTAGTTTCTTTACTCTCTCCTCTTACGGAAACCTGTCCATACCACTAATTATCCTTGTTGCCCTGTTCTGTACCTTCTCTTGTTCTTCTATATCCTTTCTGAGGTGTGGGAACCAGAACTGGGCACAATATTCAAGCTGTGCATGCAACCTGGATTTATAAAGGGGCATGATGATCCTTTCAGTTCTGTTTACAATGCCCATTTTAATAATCCCTAGCATTTTGTTTGTCTTTTTGAGGGCTACTGAGAACTGAGTTGATGTTTTTAGTGAACCGTCCACAGTGAATCCCAGATCTCTCTCCTGCATGGTAACAGCTAATGTAGAGCTCATCATAATGTAGGTATAGTTTGGGTTATTTTGCCAAGGTGTATCACTTACACTTATCAGCATTGAATTTCATCTGCCTTTTAGTTGCCCATTTGTTCAGTCATGCCAGATCCTTTTGTAGTTCCTCATAGTCTGCCTTGATCTTTACCACTCTGAATTGTTTTGACATCTACAGATTTGGCCACCTACTCACCACTTTTTACAGATCATTTATGAATACGTTAAACATCACTGGTTCCAACACAGATCCCCGGAGGGCCCTTCTGGTTGCTTCTTTCCATCCTGAAATTGACTATTTATACTCGCTCTTTGCTTGCTAAGCTAATTTCTAATCCATAAATGGACATTCCTTATAATCCTTATAATGTTTGGAAATCCAAATCCAATCCTGTTTATTGACACCTTCAAAGAACTCTAATAGTTTGGTGAGGCATGATTGCATGACAATGTAAAGACATTTGATTGAATTGTGGTTTTGTTTTTAACTATTGGGGTTTTACTTTTTCATATATGAATGGATTCAATTTAAAGGCGAGATTCACCGTACCAACTATGTTTATATTAGTACACGTACAGAAAAATAGCATTTGCTATGTCTTGGGCATTCCCACTTCTAGTGGACCTGCAAGCAAAAAATGATGATATTTAAAGCTATGTATTACAAGTCATATAAAAACTTTCATGACTCAGGCCATTCTTTACATTTTTATGAATTAATTTAATCTTGAAGCATTTAATCTTGAAACATTTAAAGACTGCTGCAGATTAGCTGAAGTTTACCTGATTTTACAAACTCCAGAAGGCTACAGATATTGGCTGACCTACAGTGAAAAAGGAAAGAGTTTGTTCTCTAAAGAGCAGCAAACCTTTCCCAGCCCAGAAGTTTTGCAGTGGACAAAAGCTGCAAAGCTTCTCCTGGAAAAGGGCATGAATATAAATTCAACACCTCAGATGCTCCCTAGAGCTCCATATGGTGGATGAGGACTTGCTTTCTTTGTCTTTGAGTTTGCATAGCCTATTAGAGTTCTGGCAGACCTTGAACTGGAATAAATGACTCTGAGAAATATCACTGTTCCACAACAGAGTCGGGTATCAGGGCTAAGGGGGGTGTGGCACTTTTATTTTCCTCTTCCTCCTGGTAGGGAAACTCCGTGCTGTTCCCAGCTTATTCGATGAGGACACTTCTTCCCTTTGGAAGGTAAATCGGCATGATTCCCTTCTCCCCCATTTAGGTTTATATGTCAAAGGATAGGATATTCAGAACCATGTTGCTAATTTAATTTTGGCTTTTCAGAGAGGATATTTCCTTTAATTATTTTACGAGGCTGATGAGAGAGAATGCTGCTACATCTGTTAACAAATCATACTTACCTGCTCCTGGAGTTTGAGGACCAGCTTCACAATTGCATTTGAGATTGATGAGGCTCAGTGAGAAAAGTGAAATGATAGTAATGTGTACAATAAAATGAGCACAGTTGTGGCAACACTAACTTTCAGCGCTATTTTTAATTTTACAGCTATCAAAATAATCAAGTAGCTAAAGGAATTGGTAGTGATATATGTTTTAGAAGAAGCTAATTTTCTTGTGAAACTGTTATGCCATTAGTGTAGGAACTGAAGGGGAAAAATATATCCACAAAAATCAAAACAACAAATAAATAAACCCTTTGTGTCTTTTAGTTAAATATAAATATTGTATATTTTCCAGCCTGACAACTGTAATGAAGAAAATTATACGTGCGAGGAAACAAAATCAGATGAAACATTTACGGCCAAAAATGAAAAGACTAAACCACTTATTCCAGAGATGTGTTTTATTTATAGCGAAGAAAACACTGAAAACTATCCATCAAATGCCTTTATTGAAGAGGATGGAACAAGTCTTCTGATATCCTGTGCAAAGTGTTATGTACAGGTTCATGCAAGTAAATAAACTAATTGTTCAAATGACAGAACCTTTGATTTACAGTTTTGTTTTAATATCTATATTATAGTTTAAATAACAGTCAACATTTTTAGACTATTTCCATTTGTTGTGCTTAGAATGCTTAGGGCAGCATTCTATTTTAGGAAATAAAATATTCCATGAATATTCCGTGTGCTCAGGGCAGGTGGTGGTGGTGCTGGGAGGGGGCTATGGGGAGGAGCTGAAGCCTCTCCAAAATTCTCCATAGCCCGCCCTCCCAGCGCTGCCGCCTGCCCTGAGCACAGCCGTGGCCCAACTCCCCCCACTCCCCCCCACGTGCCAGGAAAAGCCTGGCACAGCCCTAGTCCAAGCCTGCAGCAATAGCCCACCTCACCCATGCCCTGTGCACATCCTGGGGCACCCCCCTGTGCCTTCCCAGGGTGTGTGCAGCAGCGGGAGCTGCCCCCCACTCTTTGCACCGCCTGGTCGAGCCATGGCTCCATCCCATGCCCCGCCCCGCCCCTGTGGGGAAGTGCCTGCCCCAGTCCCACTCCTTCCTCGCCATGAGGGCCTTGGTCTGCCCCCAGCACACTCCTTCCCTTTTCCCTCCCCTTCCACCACAACAGACATACCAGGTGCACCAGCTCTTCAAGCTGCCGGGCTACGTATTAGAAATGGGATCAGTATTGCCTGGTGTGCCTCCTTTAAATTCAGCTCTTGGTATTGGCGCCCAAAAGCTCTATTGGTGCACCCACTAGTTTTTACCATGGGGAAAAATTTATGACATTTACTACACTGGAAGAATAATAAAGTTACTGGTTTTCAGGGATCAGAGCTATACTTATTTGCTATTTGTGCACTTCATAAAGTGGTCATAGAATAGGATTAAGCTTGACCTCAGAAGGGGTATGTTGTTTAGTGTTTTGTCTCAGGGCATCTAGTATATGTATAATATAGCTGAATCATATAGAGCTCTAGACATCAAGAAGGGAAGAATATATTAACCTTAGGGTGGCCAATCTGTGGCACTCATGCCACAAGTAGTATGTGCAACCTCTGTGTGGCACATGACAGATCTCAGAGCACTGTGGCAGACTGGGCGGAGAGCAGAAAGCGGAATAGCAGATTGGGCAGAAAAAGAGGATCAGAGTGGCACTCGGGGGGTGTGGCCCACCTGCCAAAACGGTTGCCCCCCTATGTATTAACCAATCCAACTTTCTTATTATAGGTTGTTACGGCGTTCCTTCTCATGAAATCCATGATGGATGGCTGTGCTCTCGATGCAAAAAAGGAGCCTGGACAGCTGTAAGTTGCCCAGTTTATTTAGTCATCCTACTCACTGCAGGCTACCAAAACAAGCACACAAGTTATTGTATGTGGAATGCAGCCTGTAGGGCTGGGTTCTGTTGAATATACCTCTTATTGCTAAGGAAAGACTTAATTCATTTAGCAATATGATTAGCTTAATTTAAAATTTCATTTCATTTTGAGAGAGATTAAATTTGAAAGTGTTTTGCATACTTAAGGAACTTGTTAGCAAGTAGAATGCTGTATGTGTAATATCCTTGGAAATAAAAAAAAATCACATTTGATTAAAAAACAAACAAAAAATTACATTTCATCTTAATATTTTAGTCTTTGATTATATGAATGGGGAGCAAAGGAAGGGAAAGGTAAAACAAAATTTATTATCAAGTGTGAAATTGTTCTTATGAAACATTTAGGAATTTACAGCCATGAGTTACATTTAAAGGTTAATGGATGATTATCAAAGATTTTACTTCCAAAGCCATATATACCTGTTGTATGATTAAAAACAAACAAACAAAAAACCTCAAACTAATGGCTAAATATTGTTAGAAATAAATAAATGGTAGTTGATAAAGTGCAAAAACAATATTTTTGTTTAAGGCCATAGGAGAGACGAGGACTTTTGTGGGCGATATCTTTTACTGGACCTTCTGAATAGTCAGAAGGGACATAGACAAGCTATCAGATACCACTGTACCCATCTGAGGAAAGGTATGGTGGTACCTGGAAGTTTCTGTGTCCCTCCCAACAATACAGTTAATCCAATAAAAGATATCACACACAGAAATGCTTGTCTCTTAAATTTTTCCTAGACTACTGTATCATCCAAGCCTACCACAGAATTCTGCTGTTTTCCCTCAGGGATCAAAATAGACCTCTACAACTTGATTAGCTAGTACTAACCTGAAAAGTAAGATTCATAATGTGCCTATATAAGCCATTTATCCTGTGTAGCAACCATTTCATAACCTCTGATTATATTTTGCATTTTACCTGAAGAAAAACGTAATATTCACTCTTAAAAGCCGACATTTTCCAATGATGATTGTTGCAACTGAAATACTGCAGTTCTTCTTTCGTGACATGAAATGGTTATAGGAACTCTTTCACCTTTATATGTTGTGAGTAAATACTGACTTTTTAATAGAAATTTACTCTCCAATTAGGAAATGACCATTTGGTTTTATATTTACTTTTAGCACAGCTGGAATTTAATTTTAGCCAGTCTCCTTCCTCCTGGGCCCCCTCAACAAACTCCTTTTACATTTTGTAGCAGCAGTGTTTGCTAAGAAATCAATTCCTCATCCAGTTAAGAAACACAAGTAGTATGTAACAGACTTCATTAGTTCACGTGTACTTCCTGACTTAATGTAGCACATTTGTTCTGATATTAATTTCACAAAACACTCACATTAAATTAATGGACAAGATGCTTGGGTTGTAAAGCTTCCTACTGATCATGAATGGTACTTGTCAACCAAATACAGGGAGATGAGGCACTCAAAATTAAAGACCAGATTTTCCAAACTGCCTGTCTAAATTGTGCTTAGAAAATATTTGCACATACATCAAACTAATAACTACAAACACAAAATAAACACACAGACATATTTGCGTTTTGCATGTTCAGTAGGGATCTGTGATGTAGATGGTGCAAACTAAGCATTGAGTTTAGATAGGGACCCACCTAAAAAATGGCAATAAACAGCACCCTTGGGATGTGGTCATGCCTAACTCTGACATTCACCTTATTCTTTCATAATGCTTAAATATTTCCCAATCTTTTCACCTGAATCCAGGGTCATCCCTAGGGGGCAACGAATTGAGGCAACCACCCCAGGCCCCGTGCTTTGGGGGGCCCCGTGGTTAGTTCAGTTTAGCCACCCTGCTCTGCTGCCGCCGCCAAGCACTGCCAACTCCGGTCGCTCGCCATTCCCCGCTGTCCCCCGGGGCCCCTACAGGTTGATATGTCCTGGGCCCCACACACCCCTAGGGACAGCTGTGGCTGAATCAGATGAAAAGAGAAATTATCCTACCATCTGTATTTGAGAACCTGATTCCCTCACTCCATGCAGCTATGGTTGTTGTGTCTAGTTGTGATATTATGGCTCTGTGTTCTTACTAATAAACTCTTTGGAAGAAGTCTTACTGCTGTTCTCAAAGAACAGATTTTTTTTGGTTGTGATGTGTGATGTGTAGGCTCTATCCAAAATATAGAAACTGGACTCTGCAAGGCAAGTGGTCACCAGGATAGTTATGCTGTATCCATCTTCCTTTAAGGAAATTTAAAAAATCCTTATTTTGCTACTTCAAAAGCTTTGAAGAATACACAAGGGTCTTCTCTTCTGTAAAACACAATATTATTACTGTATGGCCTTTTCTTACAGTTTTAAATCACTTCAGGATCCCCAAAACAAGAGGTAGTATCAGCAAATTTTAAGAGTAAAAATGTAAACAATTTTGAGTTTCTTTGTGTCTGCTGGAAAGTAAAGGAGATAAGAGGGACAGGACTGTATGGTGTGCATATTAACTAACCTGGGGGAGAACAAGAAGAGACAGATCTACAACTGGTCATTACAAAAGTACAGTCCCATTTATAAATGTGTAGTCCAGTGTTGCTTAGTGAATAGCTATTAAAATACGAACTGAATCATTTTCTAACTCTGTAATGCGTTTTCATTTTAGCAGGCAAGGCATTCTTACTAGGCAAAATTCAATTTTTCTCTTTCACTGGTCACCAGAAAAGCTTGTTAATGACTCTTTATCAGGGAATCAGGAGCTTCAGGACTTCTGGAACTGCTTTTGTAACTATTCTTCCACAGTCATGGGTGGGTGGGTGGCAGGAGGTGGCAAAAGTCAATCCTAGCAGCTGACAGAGTGCCTTTAACTCAGAATCTAATTATCAGTTAAACGGACAGGGTTAGACAGCCCTGCTGCTTCAACAAAAAGTTTGTCACTTTCCTTTCAGAGAAAGGACAGCTATGGCACCTCTAAGTGTGGGTGATTGTAAGGGGAACATTTATGAGATTCCTTGTGTGACAACAATAGGGATGGAGATTCTGATGGTTTTGTTAAAAATGCTGGGAACCTTCAGAACATTGGCCCGAGGTCTAAGATTAAAAATAGTTTATGCTTTAGCTACAACACTTAGTGGTGTGACTCCAGAGAGGAAAAGGTAACAAGAGTCTGTAGTTTTTTATGTAACTGGCATGTTTAATTTGCAAAACCCAAGGGGAAAAAAAAAAGAATATTTACTCCCGCATTATATGATTTCATGTGGGAGGGACATTTTCTGAATTTACTGAGGAAATGCTCCTTCTGAATTTTACAGGGCACTCAGGTTACATGTTAACAGGCTATATTAGAAAAGAGAGAAAGAGAGAGAGGGGCAGCATTCATTGTTGGGAAAGAATCTTAATGCTTGGTGTAGGAGGTTGAGATGGAAGAAAGGATAGAGGTAGAGCTTATTAAATTTTTTGCCCAAACTTTATTTTCATTAACAAATATCAATATAGTGGAACTGAGACTTTTTGCAACAACATGCCAGTTCCAAAAAATCTTTTGCCAGGAAGGATTTCTAAGGTCTAGAGTAGAATTTCTGATGGTATGTCAGGTATAGGGAGACCCTTCCCAGAATAACAAATAGACTAGAAGGATGAGGGGAGACAAATTTAGTTATGTATCTACGTAGTATTGACCAGTTCCAACAGGGGAGATTGAGAGGACCCATCCTACCATATGCAATAGCTTTGTAGTAAGGGGAATCAGCTAGGTAATGGGAGAATGGCAAATAAGGGGCTTGAACTTGAGTCCCTCATATCTTAGATGCCCTTGCTCTCTTCCCCTCATCCCCCCACCCCGATCATTTTTCTTAGAATTTTTAGAAAAATATTAGTTTTATTCTGAGGTTGAACATGGAAATGTCAGAAATCACAATAGATTCAAGTGAGAGAAAAAACATTACCAATCAACTCTCGAAGCTGAGAGCTGAAGAGTAGGAGTATGTTGATGTGGTTCAAGTCAGCACTTAGGCAGGCATACCTGAGCTAGCTCTGCACATGCTAGCTCTAGAACCAGAAACTGGAATCACAGTTCTGCATCTGGGCTAAATATCTCTGCTATGAAACAAGGCTGCATCTCTAACCATGTTGGTTCTAGTGCACAAGTACTGAGTGCTTACAAGTAGGTTGGAAAATCTATGCACGTCACTGCACAGTGATGTGTAGATGCATCTTAGATGGAATCTCAGGGATAGAGAGAAGATTGGGGAATTGTGGGGGCAGAAGGAGGTTGTAAAATAGAGTGTAGTGTTGGAGACAGAAAAACAAGTGTTCTTGGAACTAGAGAAAAGACCAAAGACTTAAAAGATTTTTGTATCTCAGGTAATCAAGAGTACGTGGGAATAGCAATATCACTATGAAATTGGAGAAGGCCATATGTTAAACCTGGATCCACTTAGAAGAGCAAGTCTTTTATTTATTTATTTGAACCCCTGTCTATAAAACATTTAACTAAATTTTTGTAGCTTTAGGTATAGGTTGCTAAATGTGTTACAACATTAATAGCGGTGACCTCATCTTCATTGAAATGAAGGTTGTTGACTTCCATGAAGAGTTGGTGGCCTGCAATATGTTTCTTTATGCAGATTTGCTGACGAAGAGTTGGTGGCCTGCAATATGTTTCTTTACGCAGATTTGCTGAGACAAAAAAAAAATCACACTCTTAGTGCCATAAGTTTAAAAGTATAAAAATAACAAAAGGTAGTTCTTTTTCACACAGCATGCAACTAAAATGTGGATTTCATTGTCACAAGATGTTGTGGAAACTGACAGATTAGTCAGATTCAAAAAAGGAGTGAAAAAATTCTTGGAGAAAAGGTGCAACAGTAGCTATTGAGCATGTGGCTCTGAATTAGACCTTCCTAGACTATAAATGCTGGAGGTTGCAAGTGAGAGAGGAACAGCTGAAGAAATCCTGGTCATACACGGTTTATT